AAAGTACTAACATGTACTAATTTGGTACTAGGATGTTCTTTAAGAAATAGAAGAATTTGGGAAATGTGCCTAATTGTTATGTGAAGGTTGGAACACTTATATTATTCTGAACACACAGCCGTACCCATGGTGTCAATTATAACAACAACAATGGCAACATCAACACCACAAGAACAGGCATCGATAGTATTTGTTACAAGTATTCGTTGGCCGCGTAGCTTAAACGGCAGTATACAGCACATACAGGGTGAGATGAAAAACTGCAACAAACAGACTGCTGTCATTTTTAAGCCACTTGTCCGACAGCTGTTTAAATTATTCCAGAGAAAGCTCATTATATTGTTTACAAGCGTATAAAAGCATTTTGGTGAGAATTTTTCAGAAAAAAAGTTATTTGTGATGGAATTCAAGCGCGATTGTGTGATTTCTTTATATTTGGCTGGAAAGCCACAAGTGGCTATCGTTAGAGCACTCCACCATTTAAATGTGAATAAATCTTTTGTGTCTCGTAACATCGCTAGTTACCGTGATACTGGAAGCGTAGCCTGACGTCTAGGAAGTAGACGGAAGAAAATAGCAACATCAGAAGAAATAGTTCGAAAAGTAAAGAAGCGACTTGATCGAAACCCGCGTTGCAGTGACCACAAAATGGCTCGTGAGCTGAATAGTATATTGAAAAAGGAGCTTGGGGTAAAGCCATTGAAATTCCAAAAAGTGCAAGAACTTACACCGCAACGGAAAGAAAATAGTCTCAAAAGAGATAAAGAGTTGATTCGCTTGGCCGAAGGTGGTGAACTTTCGAATTTGGTTTTCTTCGATGAGAAAACATTCGTTGTCCAGCAGTTTGTAAACAAACAAAGTGATCGTGTTTACTTGCCAAAGAGGCCAGCCATCAGAAGTCAAGCGCCGGCCATGGTGATTGTGTGGGCCGCCATAACAGCCGATGGTCGCTCTCCGCTCGTATTAATTGACCGTGCCATTAGAATAAATGCCTAATATTATTGCGAAAATAGTCTGGTGATTGTATTAAAGCCTTGGACACGCAAACATTTTGGCCGCAGACCTTGGGCATTCCAACAGGACTCAGCAATCAGTGCGCGCCATCCAAGAATGGTTACAAAATGAGGTTCCTTGCTTCATTTCCAGCGCACAATGACTACCAAAATCTCCGGGTATGAATCCGTTGGACTATTGTGTCTGGATTATTTTGGAAAGCAAGTTAGGCACTAAAAAATACCAAAGTGTCGATCACCTCAAGCAAGCGCTTCGCCGGGAATGGACCAAAATACCGAAGGGCAACATTCGGGCAGCCTGTGACTGTTTAATTGGCCGATTGAAGGCCATAATTCTTGCCAAAGGTGATTCGAACAAATCCAAACTTATTCTAAAATTTGATGCTATTTCTGGCATTTTTTGCTTTCATTAAATACAATTAAAAAAATGTAGAAATTATGGCGTTAGACTTTGTTGCATTTTTTTATTTCACCCTGTATATACTTTGTTGGGTCTAAAATTATTATTTCGATGAGACACAAACGGAATGATGATATAACAAACGGGGACAGTAGCTATAAATACGAGTGGGAAAGAGGGAGAGAGAAAGAGCGAATAATGACGTCACAATGATATTTATGAAGCTAAGACTGATCGATTAAGAATTAAGTATGGAAAATAGCAACGTGGAAATTTAGCGGAAGGATTAAGTTGTGAAGGCTTTCAAAAAACAGCTGTTTTGAGAATTGAAGCCGAATGACCTACCGGAAGTCAAAATTTTTGGTGAATGAGATTATAAAAATTTGGCCAAAATTTTTTTTATCAATTAATTGTGTTCAGCGACGTAACTCATTTTCGGCGGTCAAAAAGGTAGTAGTGGTAACACGATAATTGAGACCTTTTCGTCATACAGTAAAATTTTAGACTCTTCGGCCCATAAAATATTCCTCAACTTTTGATGGGAAAACTTAGCTATTGTTTTGTCAAACCCTATCCTATATTTATCGTGGGGTTTAGTAGTTAACAGCACCTTTCGTGGACTTCTGACTTTAGGCTGCGGCTGCCTCGAAGGGCCATTTCAATACTTGTTTGTATGTTTAGGTCATCTGTTATTTGAGTGACTAGCAAAAACGAGTTATGTTTTGAGTACCTTGCTATCCTTTTTACTAATTTTTCCTACATTGCAGAAGGCCTACCTCGTCTGATTTTAATTTTATTGCATTGCGAACCATTGCCGATGAATAACCAAGACTTTGAACTTATGTGCAAGACTTTTCTTTAGAAATTAATTTTTGTATTATGGAACGTTTTTCCGGGGTGCAATGTTTTGAAATCCTCATTGTTACAAATATGCATACAAACTTTTAGCAAATATCTTTCAATTTTCAACGTTATTTAATTTTCCTTAAAGCAAAAAAAAAAAAAAAAACACCGTTTGCAATTCAAATGCGATATTGAGACGCAGTAATATTTTTATTTTACAATTATTACAACATCAAAACAAGTAAAAAATATTAAGTTCGGCCGAGCAGGAAACATTTTAAAATAAAAGTATCTGAATTCAAGCGGGTTTCACTTTAAACTTCATATACCAATAAGGCCTTTTGCATAATACAAGTTAACTTATCAACAAACCAGAAAGTGGGTGAGGCCGTTGTATGTGGTCCAAAACGGGAACCACAAAAGACAATTTTATACTTCAAGGATTTTCATCTACCAAATCTTCTTAAATACCAAATTTGAAAGAATTTAGTGGGTAAATGTGACTATTATTATTAGAATACCGGATATCGGTGGGTATCGTTATATGTGCGCTATATGAAAACGTGGACATAAATGTTTAATGTTCTGCTACAGCCGCTAGATCCCATTACGAGCTACAAATACCAATTTCGGAACAAATGGAAATGTGGCAAAAACACCGAATAACAGGAGGAACCGTTATAGGGGGGATATACCAAAACAATATAAATTATTCTGCAAAATTTTGAAGCTCTACGTCAAATAATGTGGGCTGTATCGTGATTTTAACATACAGACGGAGAGACAGACGGACTTCGTTAAATCGACTTAGAATTTTATGCTGCTTATGAGTAATATAATTATGGGGTCTACGACGAATAACTAGGGATGTTACAAACGGAATGACAAAGTGAATATACCCTTCTTTTCAAGTTGGAGGCTGCCACTGTTTATGCTACTTCTTATTGAGATAACAAGTAAAAAAGCTGTAAGTTCGGCCGGGCCGAACTTTGAATACCCTCCACCATTTGGTAAAAATTTGGCAATTTTCAAAAAAAAAAAAAAAAAATAATAATAATAATAAAACCCGTTAAAAATTCTGTTGAAGTCTTAAAAATACTGAATGTAGCCGTATATTAGGGTCTATAAGACGACGTTGACCTGCATAGACAACTTTTGTCACAAGCTATTACAATATTCTAATTCGAAACTTAAAAAAAATCTGTTTATAATGTAGCTAAAATCATCAAAATACCGAATATAAGGAGGTACCATGGAGTTATAAAACGTTGACATGCACAGACAATATTCTGGCATAGGCTGTAGTATTCATTACGAAATACAAATCCCAAATTTTAAATAGTTCCTGTAAATAATGTCGCTAAAATCATTAAAATACCGAATATCGGGGGTACCGTTATATGGGGGCTATAGGAAGACGTGGACCTACATGGCCTATTTTCTGTCTTAAGCCGTAGTATCTATTACGAACTTTAATACCGATTTTGAAACAATTCCAGTAAATAATGTCGCTGAAATAATTAAAATACCGAATATCGGGGGTTACCGTTATATGGGGGCTATAGGAAGATGTGAACCCACATAGCTCATTTTCAATACCAAAAGTCCTGCAGACATAATACACATTTGAGTAAGATTTTATAACCTACTTCATTTCGTTCTTAAGCTAGAGTGATTTATACAGACGGATAGACGGACAGACGGACCGACATTGATAAATCGACATAGAATTTTATGCTGATGAAGAATATATATACTTTGTGGGGTCTAAAATTTAAATTTCGAGGTGTTACAAACGGAATGACAAACTTAATATACCCTCCATACTATGGTGGAGGGTATAACAACTTGTAGACAACGTGTTGACTGTCTCATACGGGATTGAGTGAAGAGTGGGAGTTTTATACGACGTGTACTTTTCACTCCTTCGTTTTGTGTAAAAGCGCTCTATTAATTTTGGAACGAAACTGAAAAACAGAATTTGTTTTTTTTTTTTACTCCCAGGAGAAAATTTGGTGCTCCCGCTCAGATTTGAGTAACGAGTGAAACTCGCTCGAATATTAGGCGGCTTGTCCATCATTCTGTATATGATCGCACATGATTCAGTTGCAATTCGATTTTTCGGGATCTGTTTAGAAGTTCACAGCCAGATTTCATACCTTGATATATTTGATTTTTTGGAAGATAAGTCCCTATATTTTGAATTTTGTATCCAATCAATTTTTTGAACTTTTCCATTTCCTTATGAGAGATGTTTTGTCATCGCCGATTTCGGTGCTGGCCCAACTTACCTCCCCCCCCCCTTTTTGTGGTTTTTTATATTTATTACTTTTTCCATTATGTCTGACATTTTGATAAATTTCAATAATAAAGCTAATAATTATTTTCTGTCCCTCACCCTCTCCTCCTTCACTCCTATTTTTCCTCTCCAAATTAATATTTATTTAGTTAGTGAGAATTTTATAAATTTCCCAGGCCCAACAACTTTGAACCCAATTCTCGGTAATTACAATTAAATTTATTATATTTGTCTAGTTACCAGCCGACGTCGTCTTAACGCGATAACAGCATCAAGTGGTGGCTGGCGGTAATGCATTTTATTGGACCAAATAAAGTCAATTTAATATTTCTCTTTTTTTATTATTACATTATGTCCTTTTGCCTTTTCTTGTGATTTTCCCTTTCTTTTTGTGATTTTCTCTCACTTAACGCTTTTCCTTAATTTTTTTCTTCTTCTTGTACAGGTGCCATAAAACTTTGTTAACATTTCATAATTTACGGGCAGCCGTGGCCCTATTACTGCTGGCCATTAATAGCATTGAATTAGCCAAGGCTCTGTTGCCTTTGCCCCCTGGCATTGGAGGGGATGGTGGTGACGGCAGTGGTGGTCATAATGTTGATGGCAGCAGTGCTGATAATGTGAGCGGAAGTCAAAGTAATTTGCCACAGCTTCAACCAACAACATCCGTCGAAGGCGAAACGCAACCAATTATTATTGTCATCGGTTCATCGATGTTGGCCAATGCCATAGCCGGCATTATTTTGACCATAATGTTAATGTGGTATCATCGGGTTGTGGAAATCAAAAAATCTCTAGGTTTGTAGTGTTTGTATGGAATGGTCGTTCATTTGAACGACTTTTTTGTGTGTGTGTGTGTATGTGGATTGTTGTTAATGGCTTTTCCCTTTTCTTCTTCTCCCCCCCACCCTTTCTCTTTGCAGAATATCTATACGTCAGCTGTACGGTGGCTGTATTAATTTTCATGCTGCGCATCTATGAATTGGCGGAAATTGTTTATTATGATTCAATTATGGAACTGGAATCGGTAATACAGGCCTCAGCAGCGGCGTGTTTATTATTTTTGGCCATCATTGATGGCTTTACAGTTTACAAAGAGGTAGGTTGGTTCTTTTTTCTCCTCGTACTCTGTCGTTTTTTAATTAAGAATTGTTAATAAATTTTCCAACTTTCAATACAAAGAACCGAATGTTACGTTTTAATAAAGTGTATAAATTTTGTTGAATGGTCGGCCGGCTGAGGCCCTCGAGCGTAAATGTAATATAAATGGAACGTTGTGATATTTGCCGGTCGATTGGCAAGAAAATATTAAAGATAAATAATGATGATGGCATATTGTGTGTGTTTCCTTTTTTAAATGGACTTTAAATGAGATGAGAATTCAAAAGGCTCACGTAATGGGAAATGATTGGGAAAATATGTATGTGGGTATACACATACATGTGTAATGGAAACTTCGAGTCCGATTATCGAGGAAACAATGTTCTGCAACTTCAATAGAAAAAGGATTTGCCGCTATATATGACAGTTATATGTATGTGGATTTGCAGAAGCACATCCTTCCAGTGGATAGAAATTATACCCTTGCCGAGGTGGATGCTTGTCTAGATGGCCTAAGCTCTGCATTCAGATTAACCATTGAAAAAAAAGTGCCAAACCAGAAATCAGGAGTCGTTTCCTTGGAGATCTTCCATCCAACATCGTGAGATTCATCGCAGAGCGGAAAAGGCAACGGAGTATATTAAGACGCACAGCAGATCCTGATCGCCATCCAATCCTCAAGGCCGACATAAGGAACTTAAGCATAATAATCAAGCAATTGAATATTATTCACGAAAAAAGATAGCTTCAAGGGCTACTTCGAGTTGAACTCGAAGACATATGGGAAAGTCAAAAAAGTGGTATTCTGACATTCCAGCAGCCTATAAAAGGATACGTAAACAATGATGTAGTGATTACTTCAGATAACACATAAAAAACTGTAATCCTGGCTGACGGTACACAGGATAGTCGGAATTGGAAGGAATTAGTAACAACGTGCCATTTGTTCAATTCAGCGGCGAATTCAAAGCAGATGGGTCTTCCATCAATGCTCGTCCCTGGAAGGAAAATGGATTTGTTGATTCAGATACGGTCCGCTTAACTATAGCAAAAAGTCTTGTGGCATCGATAACGTCCCTGATATTTCTGTAAAGAAGGCTGGTGAAGCCCTGTTCTTGCCATCTTGTTTAAAAACTGCCTCAACATTGGCTATTTTCCAATAGCCTGGAAAGAGACATTAGTGTTGCCAGTTCCTAAGCCCGGAACAGACGCAAAATTAAGAGAGAGAGCTATGGACCGATATCTCTATTGTCCCCCTTTGTGAAGCTACTTGAACACTTCCTACTGCGCCGAATCAACCGGATGATCGAAAAGAGGAGGATACTAAATGACTGCCAATTCGGATGTATAGCAAAAAAACCTTGCACATCATGCCCTCGCAGGTTTTACAACATACACCGCGGATGGTTTCAAGACCAAAATGGGAACAATAGCAATTGGTGTGGACTTCACTAAAGCCTTTGATACCCGTATGGCAAAATTTCATTTTATACATAATACAATCGTTTGGATTCGATGGCAAACTTGTCGCATGGTAGCAAGCTTTATCCGGGATCAAGTCTTTCGGGTTAGAGTTGATAGCCTTCAGAGTTCACTGCTGTACAACATGTTTGTTAGCGTCATCCTGGACTGCCTGAAGGAAGATTACTGCTAATGTACGCCGATTACTTTTTACTGGCGCTTCGGAGAAGATTGAATGCATACATGAATACGCTTCGCAACTACTTTAACATCTGTGGTTTACAAAGGAAGACCTATGGCAATGGAGAATGTTTGCTTATTAATATATTTTATACTGTAACTATTAAATATATATACCGTGGAGAACAAGCGCAAGATGCGCAAATATAAGAACAGTGGTTGCGGATGCTTGGAAAAGAGCGACAGACGTGCTTTCCAATTGGCTACCATACTCCAAGGAGTCGTCTAGCTAGTGAAGCTGAAGACTTTGGCTGAGGATAATGTCAGGCTTTTGGCCATAGTTAGCAGCCGTGACATGGAGGATACCATCAAGGCAGCCGAAATTCTTAACGATCTTATAGAACTGGAGTGCATTGCGCTATCAGCAACCACTGTAGATAGGACGACGGTCCCAACAACGGGAGAGCGGATGGCCCTGGCAATAAAGGGCGGTCAGTTCTTCAACGTCTTCTACCTACATAGCAGCACTGAATATCGCACCAACGAAGAATTTTGCTAGGCCTGCGACATCCTCCTAAAGGGCGGACGGTCCTATATCTATGGCTGTGTCGAAGTCTGTTCCCAAGGCTTCAGCAGCAGCAACCAAAGCCGCGCTTGCAAATGACTCGCAGCAGCGAACGTAACATAGGCCGCCCTCGTGAGAGACGGCAATCTCAAGATGGCGGCTCCCCCCATAACCATCTATGAGGCTAGTGTGAACAAGGTCAGGACAGCGTTGAGACTTCACCATCAATATGCTGACGAAGCGTGTAATATCGCTTAGACTAAGTAGCCTTAATATATATGAAAAGGTTAGGGCCATACGTACCCTGACAGGCTTTCCGTCAAAATCACGGCCGAGGAAATTAAAATTGAGCTAGAAATCGTCTTCGTACAGAGCCTTGTCAATATTTCGCCAGATAAATGGCTGGTTATGGTCGATAGGCAAATCGATATACATAAATTTTATACGGTCAAGAGGCTGTTTAGTTTGAGCATAGTCCTGTGAAAGATGCACTGCTATAACTGTCAGCGACATAGACACATCGCTGTTAATTGCGGAATGTCGTCTATTGTGAGAAGTGTAGAGAAGAGCACACTATTCAACTGTGCCCCACGCAACTCGGATGCAGAGAAAGAAGGAAGCCGAGCCCAAACAATCTGCCAGATCTGGCCGCATTTCCGCAGAAAATATCAGAATAACTAACGCTAATGCTGCGGGGGGAAAAACTGGACAGCCGCAGAAATCCACCTGGCCTACCTAGTACCCCCATTCTCCTTCTGACCCACCCAAAATGTCGGAGGACTAATAAGCCAAACCAAAGAAGTTTGGAGACCTTTTAACGTTAGCTGAGGCAAGGTCGTTTGGTCCTAGATTTGGGCATATTCGGGAGGAAAGGGGTAACACGAAAACTTGGTTGGCCCTTATGGTTCACATAGCCCTAAGCTGCTACTCGTTATTTTCTGAAACTAGAAATCACTTCTTGCGGAATTTTTTCCTGGAGCATCAGCCGGGCATTATTCTACTGGCAGAAATTTGGCCAAAAGTTTTACAGTTTTTCCCTAGCCAAAAGTTTTACTGCCTCTCACCTTCTTGGGGGATCGTCGTGTGTCGCTAGTTTCTGGATGGATGATGTATCCTCCATAGCGTTCGCTTCTATATATCAGCACCCAGTTAGTTCTTTCCAAATTTTGGATCTGGACCCTATCACAGTGACGACCTAGCGGTTGGTAGAGATCTGATGGCGAAACACACTTATATGTTTGTTTTGTGCGGCTTTTTTCTAGAATTGGTCCCTGAATCTATCAGTTGTTTAGGGGAGTTTCGTACGCTACTTATATTTCGAGTAAAGAAGTTTCGTATGCCATTTATGTTCCCAGTTAAGCCGTTTCGTCTTAAGTGTGTTTCGTACGCCACTTACATTCCGACGGGTATGTGTAACGAGTCTTCCCGTCGATCAGCAGCCAATGACCATTTGGGGTAAGCCTTATCAATGACTCTAAGGTCATTCGGTACCATCTATTGAGAAGAATAGTGATCCTATTTCGGTTTTGGGTTGTAAGGCTTCTGCGAAGCATTATCGACAGGATCGGCTTTCACCTTCCCATTAGTGTGCTTCCCACTATCCTTCCTTACCGCTGCCGAAGCATATGAGACGAGCTGTTGTACAATGGTGCCTCGTCACTATTTTTTTTCGATTGGGGTTGCTGACCGTCATTTGACTGCAACCTCTTCACAGCCAGTGGCTGAGATTGGGATTTGGTTGCCTTCGATGCTGCTTCCTTCAGCGAGATTGTTCACTCGCCGTAGCCATCGCTGCGCTGTCCATCTGTTGAGTCACAACCTTCGCAGATGAATCAATTGATAGGCCCTCACATTCTTGGGTTCGGCACTCTTGGTGCCGGGAGAGCTCAGCGGCACGTCCATTAAAAGACTTCCATTAATGAAGATGCCGCTAAGTCATCCCTCTATCTCCTGTCTGGAGAATGCGGGTTTGACGATGGTTACCGACGGATTTTTATATTGAGCACTGGGACAATTCAGGTGGACTACCTTGAGAGTTAACCCTGTATCCATGTTCTCTTCCTCGTCAGACTGGGGGTTCCCAGAAGTCTGCAAGGATGCTCTCTTGACTCTGACTAAATAGTCCAATATTCGCAATAATGAGACGGTTTAAATAATTTTTCTTCCATATGTCATCGTTGTCCTGTGGAGACTGAAGTCGAGCATGGCTCCATGCCATGGCGATGACTCCGTTAGAGCGCAGTAGATACCAGGAGTATTGCAGGTTTACCAATACTGATGGACACGTGATCGCATATCACCGTAGAGTTAAGGGGTCGGTTCTCTTTATGTGGGGACTAGGACAGAGGTTTTAGTATTTTAGGGGCGTCAAAGCATCGCCTCGTCAGTCTAAGGACCATTGGTATCATAAAAGCTCTGTTAGAACGCAGGTTTTGCTATTTTAGGTGCGACAAAACATCGTCTCGTCAGTCATTGGAAGACAGAGGACTATTACAAACGTTAATTCGTTAAGGAATAGTTCTTTCCAATAAGTTTTAAAGCCAATATTTTTATCCTTTATTATAGAAATAATTTGTTCTGATTATCCTTCCCCCCTCCGATAGTCACATCTCCATAAGTTAAAATATTTTATTAAACATTTATGTCTCTGTTTATTTTTCTCTTGGCTTTACTACTCTCTTTTGCTTGTTTGTGGAAACACAAACAAAAGCTGCATCAAATGAAGAAGCTTATGCATAAATCTGTTGCCAGTTTAGCATATATTTCCGAATTAAGCTAAGCCACAATATAAG